TCGGACTTGAAGTAATCGTCTCTAGCGTGGAGTCGAGCATCTCGCTGACTTTCGTGTCGACGTAGAAGGGCTTGCATTTAGCATCCTTTTCCCATCGCACTCCCTTCGCTCGCGGCGGAGACGGCGCATCAACGAGGAATGATAAGTCGTTGGCGTATTCGACTTCAGAGGTTTCAGTGACCTCAGGGAGAAAGGACAAGTCGTTGGCGTACTCGAAATCGGGGACGGCAGCTTCGGTTTCAGTCTTTGGTTGTGATGGAGATGTTGATGACCAAGCATTCGTGGAGTGGAAGGGGTTCTGGTTGAATGACTCGGCGAAACTGTTCTTAGCTTGCTCGGTATCGGCGAAACCTTCCTCCGTAGACTCGAGCGCGGCATTGAGGCTTGCGATGCGCTTGCGTTCCCTGTACATCTGTGCCTTGACCAGTTGGCGTCGCAGAGGTGTGACCGTAGGCAGGTTGGAAGTGCGCTTGCCATTGGGGGCTGGGCTTGCGGATGCTTGCGATGAGGAGAGTGCTTGCGCCGACGGTGACGTAAGACCTGAAGAGGCATGGGCAGTTGAAGCATTGCGGAGCTCAGAGATCCAGGCCGGGTTGGCATTGTCGTAGGCAGGCGAGTCATAGTGGTATAGTGGGGATGACAAGACCTGGCTTGCGGGCGAGGCAACCGCGGGTGAGGCGACCTGAGGGCTGTTCCAGAATATTGTCATGGGAGAGCCGGTCTGGGGGTCGCGCGGCGGGGTTGAAGTGAAGACATCCTCGAAAGAGAAGTCTACACTGACCTCAAGGTCCTCGTCGTCTTCCAGGCTGACGTTGCTGCCCTCGTCGAGAGATACATCTCTATTGTATGCTCCCGGCACGATTTCCTCGAATTCTTGTGTATGTGCTGATGACGTATATTGAATTGGCGGAACGCGGAATTGGTTGGGGCTTAGCTCTGACGCGCGCGCCTGCCTTTGGTGTTCGCGACGCGCCTGGTTCGCGCGCGCGCGCACTGAAGGCGACGGTGTCGCGCATTCCTCGTCTGCCAGACCTGCGGAGATGAAGCGCTTCTTGTTGGAGCCGGTGGCGGAGATGATGGGGATCGCCTTGATAGTCTCGCGGCGGAGATAGCGGTTGGCGAGGCGTGCGGGGAGTGAGAGCAGGTTGGCAACGCTCACGGTCGCAGCCCACTTGCCGAGCGTAGTGAAGAGAGAAGCGCGCGGAGGTATGACTTCCTCGGCGGCAATGAGGTGATCTTGTGGCCATCCGCCTGGGATACGCAGATGTGATATTGAGGAAGGGGTGTGTTGCTGCGCCTGCCGTTGTTGTCAGCTCGCGTCGCGTCAGTATAGGCAGCGACGACTACTCACCTGCAGTTGGGGAGCGCCGAAGCCATTGGCAGCGACTAGCATATCCGCAGACGCGCTGGAGAGGTAGGCGCTATAAGCGCGCTTGTTAGACATTGTTGGTATTGCTTGTCGCGGTGGTGGGTGCGATGGGCAGTAGTGACAACAATGTGGTGGAAGTGGTGTAGAGTGGAGAAGGGACGAGGGTCGCGGCTGCTGCACAAAGCTGCCCGCAGTAGCGGCCGCGCACGGACCCGCGGCTAACGGTTCGCGCTAAATCGCCTGAGGCTCTTGGTGCCCGGCGCGGAGAAACAATCCACCATTACGGCCTGCTTCCAAGGTAGTATGTGCCTGCAGTGCGTGGTCGTGCCTCTCCCCATATTCCTGTCATAGATCCTGCTGCCGCCGTCGACATCGCCTTGCACGCCACACACAGTCTCCGACCCCAACGCCCTCCGGATTGCAAGTCGCTACCACCCACCGCCTCTACTCGTGTCTGCTGCACGTCATTGGTCGAGTTTGAAAGGGCAAGAACCCCTCGACAGCTCTACATCACAACAACCGATCGACCCCCCACCTACATCGATCCCGCCGCCCCGCAACCATGGATACCAATATGGAGGACGTCAAGATGCCAGAGCCCATGCAGCTGTCGTCTGCCCCCACGACTGAGCCGACCACAATCCCCACGCTGGACGGCTGGATTGAGAGTCTGATGAGCTGCAAGCAGCTGGCCGAGAGCGACGTGCAGAGACTATGCGACAAGGTATGCGACATCCGCCTGGCGCACAATGTCATCGGGAATGCCTTTTCTGACAAGCATCGTGTTACAGGCCCGCGAGGTACTTCAGGACGAGTCCAATGTACAGCCAGTGGTACGTACCCTTTTTGCCGCGCCTGCGACATCTGCTCACCGTCGCATAGAAATGCCCCGTCACTGTCTGCGGTGATATACACGGCCAGTTCCACGACTTGATGGAGTTGTTCAAGATCGGTGGCCCCAACCCGGACACCAACTACCTCTTCATGGGTGCGTCTCGCCTGCCTCAACCCTACCCGCTCATACTGACTGACATGCACAGGCGACTATGTCGACAGAGGCTACTTCTCCGTCGAGACCGTCACCCTCTTAGTCGCACTCAAGATTCGATACCCCCAGCGCATCACCATTCTCCGTGGCAACCACGAGTCCCGCCAGATCACCCAAGTCTACGGCTTCTACGACGAGTGTCTCCGCAAGTACGGCAATGCCAACGTCTGGAAATACTTCACAGATCTATTCGACTACCTGCCGCTTACCGCCCTGATCGACAACCAGATCTTCTGTCTGCACGGTGGTCTCTCTCCTAGCATCGACACCCTTGACAACATCAGGGCGCTCGACCGCATACAAGAGGTGCCCCACGAAGGACCAATGTGCGACCTGCTTTGGTCCGACCCAGACGACAGGTGCGGCTGGGGAATCTCACCCCGTGGTGCAGGATACACCTTCGGTCAAGACATCTCAGAGGCCTTCAACCACAACAACGGCTTGACGCTGGTGGCACGTGCTCATCAGCTAGTCATGGAGGGGTATAATTGGTCGCAAGACAGGAATGTCGTTACCATATTCTCGGGTATGTCTCTTAAGTTTCCGTCGCCGATAATCCGACTGACCTTGTACAGCACCGAACTACTGCTACAGATGCGGTAACCAGGCCGCTATCATGGAGATCGACGAGCATCTAAAGTATACCTTGTAAGTTCCTCCTCCCCTTTCACCATGCTCTTTCCAACCTCTAACACTCGCCCCAGCTTGCAATTCGACCCTTGCCCACGCGCTGGCGAGCCTATGGTGTCGCGAAGGACCCCGGATTACTTCCTCTAAGCGGACCCTTCCTCTTGGCTCCCACCGCTATCTCAGCACAGCGTCACATTTGGAAGTCATCACTGAATACACTGTGTACGATTGCATTCCTGGTCACCCAAGCCGTCATGAGAAGTGACGGGAGACGCGTGGCAACGACATGCTCGCTTGAAATGAGGCTCTCATTGTCTACAAGGCCCCAAGAAGCCGTACTAGAGACACGTGGGAATGTTGCAATAGGTGGTGATGTAGCTAGTGCGAGACTGATAATGGTAGAGAGTTGACGTAGAGCTCCTTACTCCCGTATGTGCTTTGGTGAATATGTATGTTGTTCGTGATGCATTCCCGCGCATGGGCAATCATCTTTGACACCCAATCTATGTCCTCAATCCATCGCCATACCTTCTTTTGGACCATCAGGTGGCAACAAATTACGTGTTGTATTGGGCGACTACCGTGATACTGTCTTTTGAGGCATGTACATTATTGTCTCGCATTGAATTGTTACTATCAGCACTGCATATGCATTGATACGAAAAAAAAGTCATTCTCGGATGGTGCGCTGTCTGTATCGCTGGATGGCCTTCAACTAGCATCCTAGCTGAGTCAGCCACCATCTTGCATCTCGAACTTTTGTCCAGTACCAACATCTCGAGCCACACCACAGCGCCCGCCCATAATGCCTCTCACACTTTTCCGACGCCTTGCGCGACCCTCGATCCTCTCCGCAGTCCCTTTCGCTCCGGCGCGATCAATACGGCCATCATTCGCCGCCTCCGCCTTCCAGAACAGTACCCCGGCCTTCGCAGCCCGCCCAACACCGTCGTTGCGCGCACACAAATGCACATTAATACAAGTCCTGCGACAGGGGAGGATAGCGCGGAAGGCGCGTAAACTGCGATCGCCACAATTGAAGGATAGGCCGGAGCTGAAGGGCGTGTGTCTGAAAGTGGGAACGACGAAGCCGAAGAAGCCCAACTCGGGCGAGCGAAAGATTGCGAGGGTCAGACTGAGTACGGGCAAGGTTATCACAGCGTATATTCCAGGAGAAGGTATGGCAAACACATGGGAGTGGTGAGCTATAGGGAGACTGACCGGTACACAGGTCACAATGTACAGCAGCATTCAGTTGTCATGGTACGAGGCGGACGAGCGCAAGATTGCCCTGGTGTGAAGTACCATTTGGTTCGAGGAGCACTGGATCTGGTAAGTCTCACGAGCACAAAGATCATGGGAAGACATGGCTAACACTCTGCAGGGTGGTGTCGGTAGCAGAATCACCTCACGGTCAAAGTACGGAACGAAGAAGCCCAAGACGGCATAGATGGACAGTGCGGTGGAGTGTATACATATAATTGTACCATACGCTAGCATCATGGGCGTTGAAATATGACGGACGTGGAAATGCATCATCGGACAACTCAAGTATGCCTGGTTTAAAGATATGGGCGCACCGTAGACATTCGTCATGGCATGTTTGACACTTGTGCAATTGTTGAATAGCAGTCGTGATCCATCTGAGAAATCGTGTACCACTGGGGTGTGGCGCACGTCAATATACCTCGGAGGTTTACCTATGCAGCTGCCCAGGTGCAGCCCGACGGCTCGGAGGTCGCGTCATTCCAAGGATTCCACGGTCGACTTCCGCACCAAGTCCACAGCACCCTTACATCGTCGCGCAAGCTCAAGACGCTTGACCCAACTATCGCTGTGAACTGCATCTGTCTTCACAGTCGCCATGTATCTGCTTCAATAATTACTGGATTTAATCAACCCTTCGAGTAGTTCTGCCTGCCGACCTATCCTCGGATATCCGCAACCGCCGCAATGCAGACGCCAGGCGCGTCTGCCAACGCGACATCCTTCTTGCCGTCGCCAGCAGACTTGCTCATGGCATTACCGCGCCTCTTCTCCAAGGCTAGTGCTCTCGGCGACATGATGCGCTCGGGTGGAAGCGTTATCGCGGAACCTACGGCCAATATGACAAACAGCACTATGACGACTACAGGCGCGGGATTTGTACAGGAATCCATCGCTGCAGCAGCTTCTGCGATTTCGACCGAGGGCGAGATGACTGTGTGGCAAGCTTTGAGGAACGTAGCCGCCTGGTTCAGCTACATCACCTCCAAATGGGCCGTCGCAACATTCGCCCTGGTGAGCATCTGCTCCCATGACTACGACTACTACCTTTTGCTGATTTGACGTCGCAGGCAATCGTGCTTAACAGAACCCACTTCTACGCCAACAGCCGCGTTCCACTTTCCTTCGACCGCCTCTACCTCCGTTTCGCCCTCTACATCATGCCCTTGATCCTCTTCCTCTATCAGACGCAGAACACTCTACGGGCGATACGCTGTCAAACCTCCCCCGGTTGGTCAGAGATGCAGTACGGAGCGGATGGTAGGCAGCTGGATACAGACTTCGGTGGCGAAGGCGGCTTTCTATGGCAGGTCACGTCAAAGATACTCTTCTGGGAGACCACAGAGAGCTCATGTCGAGCTGCGAATATGTTGCCCATCGGTCCGGCGACCACGCGGCCTTCTGGATCGCTATCGCTTCTATGGCCCATGTTTGTGACCCTTGGATTTGGCCAGTTCGTCGATACCTTGGCTTGCGCCCTGCAAGGAAGACGCCCGATTCAGGAAGTCGGTATGACCGTCTTCGAACATTCGCTCGCATTTGCAGAAGCTGAGGCTGTCGTTACGAAGCCGCTAGCGGTCGATTCCGTACGCTTCTTCAAACCGAAGTCTGTCTTCACTCCAGATGGCACATCCTTCACGATTCCGAGGTCGAAGCTCTCCAAGATCGCCAATGTACCACCAGAAGTGCTGTTGATTTCCCTCATCTCTAGTTTCAGCCACTTCATGAGCAACTTGTTGGCGATCGCTGGAGTGCGCTCCAGATGGCGACTCGTCACGACAACAATCTGCGGACTTGCCTACATGTCAGCTTTCGCATGGAGCTGTGTTCGTCTGGCAACCATGGTCACTGATCCAGACCACTATGTGGGAATCTTGAGATTTCCTACTGTATGCATAATTGGATTCATCCCACACTTGCTGATACTTGTGGGTATCGCGATATGCGCACTAATCTACCTGCTGGCCTTCATCATCACCGTACTTTCTCCACCTGCAGGACACGCCGACAACTTGTCTCTGAGGGAGAGATTTGCATCCGCCTACGGCAATCTTCATGCCAACATTCATCTTTCTTCGATTACGCCTTTGACTATTAATTGGCACGAAGACTTCTATACTACTATACTCAAGGTAGGCTACGTCATTTTGACATCCGCCAGTGAAGCCGTGTTTCTCAACGAAGGGACTAAGGTCAATGTGCACCCAATGACCTGGCTCGAAAAGCAGAGACTGCAGGAACTGCTTGCTCGGCGAAGAAGAACACGAGAGATGATCACCGACATCCCGTCCGAGCTCAGGAACGACACATTCGCGCAAGGCATCGAGGTAGTTGACGAACTCAACGATGTCAGAACGGATACATCACTGTCAGGTTATGCAAAAGAACGTAAAACGCGAGGAGTACAGGCATCCGCTGAACCAGCCATTGGACAGAATGATCCTGCGATTCAACAACGTAGTCGCTACTTGCAGACCTACCAGTTCTTCTTCCGTATATCAAAGTTGATTATACTTAGTCTCGCAAGGATCACGGACTGGGCGTTAACTAAAATCTCGATTAGCTATCGACCAAGATGGCTCCAACGCGCTGTTGGGTTCCACGCTGATCATGTTGATAAGATGTATGCTCCGCGACACCCCGATCAAGCGTTGGCAAGAGAGTCATGGCTTACCACAGATGACCGGTCTCGAATCCGCCAGGACCGGAATTTTGACGTCGAAGTCTTTGCGAAAGAGAGGCTTCGACAGAGTGGGTTCTATTCGGGACCCAACGGGGCAGATTCTGAAGAACGTCTTGACGACTACCTGTACTCCTGGTGGCGCAACGGTAGCCTATGGAATGACGTTGACAACACCAGAGACTATGTTGATTCGCAAGATGATGACACGACTAGTGTAGTATCATTTGCTACCACAACAGACAACGACGAGTGGTCAGACATGGACGACGGTCAAAGAACACCTACGCGTGCGACTTACCAGAGAAGTCGGGAAGCAACACCCATTCCTGACGACGCAATGGACTTCTCGAGACTGTCTCAACTTCTGGATCCGAAATCTAGTGAGGATCGTGAAGAAGCCAAGCTGCTGTCTCGCCACCTCCAGAGCTCCAATATCATGACACGCTCGCAGTACCGCAAAGCTCTTGAGCGCGAAGAGGCGAAGATCCTCACAACATCACGCTACAAGATGAGCGGTGGCGGCGTCAACATGTCGCCCGAAGAAGAAGAGCAACTTCTGGAAGATCTTATTCTCAGTCGTCGGAGCGCACCAGCGCCACAAGGCGCAAGTACAGCTGGAAGCTGGGACTCGGGTGCAGAAGGTATGGGCTCAGAAGGACCGCAATGTGTAGTTTGCCAGATGTCGCCAAGGACAGTACTGGTGTGGCCATGTGGGTGCTTGAGCCTGTGCGACGACTGTCGGGTGGGGTTGGCTTCGAAGAACTATACGGCATGTGTATGTTGCAGGACTAATGTGGCTGCATACTCGCGTCTTTTCGTTCCTTGAAAATCTAGGGGTCTGCATAGGGCCGGCGTTGAACGTTTGTTTGCATGATCCTGTACATGATAGCACATTATACAGGAATCGATCGGAAAGATTTACTTCATAGGAGTCTACATTAGCATCAATTGATGGGGATATCGCGAAGTTTCACTTTTGTACTAAAGTAGACGGCAGTGCACCTGTTGCTTCGGAACTTATCGGAACGAGGCCGGCCACATTCAGGTACTTAGGCCGTACCTAGGTAGTGGTGACGTTTCCACACGCCATGTGATAGCCGGCCCACTGCTGCAAACTGTTAGTATCATTTGTTACCCCCACGTTCGTAGTTCTAAGTGGCGATCGTCATATCGATCACCGCCGACTTGGCAACGCAAACCGAGTCATCAACTGCACCCCCCGAACTCCCTTCCACTCCAACGTTACCAAACTACCCAGATTTCGCCCACGCCTCCATCCTCTGACTGAGCATTTCCAACGAGCTCGGTCGATTGCCCTCACCCAAGAACCAGACCCAAAATTTTATGCAGCCAGAGCCCATCAACGCATCACAAAACGTTTCGTACCAGCAAACCTCTTTCGACACCGCCACCACCTCCCAGCATGGACAGCGCCGCAGCCTTGACTTCCAGGTCTCTCTGCAGCCTCACTCGGGTGAGCTGCGGGGAGAGTCTGGGCCACAACCCCGCGGGTTCGCACGCGATGCGACGCGTTCAGAGGCCGAGAGTACAGTCGGGACCGTGGAAACAGATGGACTGAAGCGCGTCGCGTCTCCCTCGCCCCCTCCGAGGGACAGGATCACCGAATACGAGAATGCGCTGAAGTCTTCACCGCGAAAGCCTGCTGACGGGCCCCTCTTCGAGATCGTCAAGAGCAACAAGAAGCCCAGCGATAAGAGCTCTCCTATCGCGAATCTGCCTAATGGTGTGTACAATTGTTTCAAGAACGGGCGGAACGTGAATGCACGAATAAGGGCTGACGATGCGTAGAGGTTCTGATCCATGCTATCGCCCACCTGTCACCAAACGATCTCGCCGCCGTATCCCTAGTCTCTCGCCGCTTCCATGATGTAGTCACTACCCCACACGCCTGGCAGGTGGCATTCGGTCGCTACTTCCCTGGCCCACACTCACTCGAAGATGCCGCCTTTCGTTCAGCCCTTGAGGGCAGTGGCTCAGTCGTGCGATCAGAGAAGAGACGCTTCACCAGGCTCACTGCGCTGGCATCGTGGAGAAGCGAGTACATTCTACGCACGAGACTATTGCGGTCTTTGGTCAGGGGCAAGCCTGTACAGGTACCTGCGACACCGTCCCGCGCATCTCAGATGCAGACCATCACCCCGATGATTACCTACGATGCAAAAACGTATACTATCATCAACCACTTGCAGGCCACGTTCGGAACCGGTTTGAACAGGAAGATGCCGCGCTTCATCCATGGTGCAGACGATATCGGCATGGTGACTAGCAGCGATCCGATGACTGGCAAAGTGGATCCTTGGGGACAGAGCGACCCTCACTTCTATGGCCAATTCTCAGAACGCTTTCCGGGCACCGCAGAGTGGGGTCTGGGCTCAGGAGAGGTCGTCGGGCGACCCAATGTTATGGACATATCGCAGCCATACGGCATGATCTATGGCCAGGGCTGTCCCGAGGGCTCGTGTTATTACCGCTCGCTCGAGGAGATGCGTGGTCGATTCATAGCTGAACCCACCGACTTTGCTATGCCTGAAGTTGGTATACCAAAGCTAGGCATCGACGGCGGTGCTATCTGCAGCGTTTGGATCGCCAAGTCAAACACGATCCCGACGCTTTCGGATGGCTTGATTGGTATGATGATGGGATCTGCAGCTGGCGTCGTCAGTGCCTGTAGCATCGGTACAGATGGTCTTCGCTCCTCCCGTGTACAGCGTGGGGAGCTGACTGCGCGCTGGGTTCTCAGCCCAGGAGTACCTATCATTGCCATCGCCGTCGACGAACAATACTCAACCAAGCGCTATGCTCAGAACCGCATTTGGGCGGTCGCTCTGAATGCCCTTGGCGAGATCTTCTATCTCACCAAATTTCCAACTCGCAGCCAGGCCACGAAAGGCGACATTGAGCACTACTCCGAGTATCTGGGTTGGCTCACTGGCCGCACCGTCTATTGGAACTTGGTGGAGCCCAGCCGACGTACTGCGAGGCCTGACCCGTACAGCGATGCCGATGTCGACGGTAGTTATTCGCCGCGAACCTCATGGGATGGCATGTGCTTAAGCAAGGATCAGATCATCGCCGAAACAAGGGAGATCCAAGATTATCTTCGCAAACAGCCAAAACATTTCCGAAAAGCATGCCTTGGATGGGATATGCGACGAACGCTCGAGGTTGATTTTGCTGGAGACGACGGAAATCATGCTGGGGAATCCGTAGTGGTCTTCGAATGCGGGCTTGAAGAGGGAGACGTCGCCGATGTTAAACGCTTCACCCGATGTAAGATTGACGAAAAGGACAAGAGTACGAACATCTCAAGTCGCGTTTTCACGCCTCAGGCTGCGCAAGCTTCCTCTTTATTCGGCGGTCCTGGCGCGGATTCTACAAAGGTTCCTCGTGGTCGCAGCTCTTCATATATCTCGGGCACAAGTTCACCGGAACGAGCCGCTCTGTTCGAAGAATGGAGGTGCTCAAAGTTGACTTTCGGCGGGTTCAAGAGCACTCAGCTGACTACAACTGCTTTGGACGTCTCTATCTTCGCCACTTTGACCTTGTTTGAGGATCCTGCGCTTGGTTTCTCGACTGCCTCGACTGCGTCCTCGCCTTACTCTTCTCCGATGTCTGTTGCAAGCCAGCCGGCCTCTCCCTCTGACATTCCTGGACAGCGCGCAAGGTTCCTCGCTGCTGGTACCAAGTCTGGCGTAGTGCTGCTTTGGGACGTCCGGGCGCCTACGTCGCGCTCGTCGGAGTACACAAACAACATTGAGCCTGTTCGTATCATCTACACCGACTCTCCAGAAATATCCTGCGTGGCTGTTACCTCACTCTATCTCGTAGCAGGTGGAAACGACGGCTTGGTACAGGCATGGGATCCGCTGGCTTCGAGCATGTCGCCCATAACAACGCTTCACTCCCGACATGCGTCGCGTGCTCGTAGACAGCTTGTGCAGGCTCAAGCTTCCGTTCAAGGAGTCGGCATCAACATGTTTGCTGCTGGTGCCGTATGCCTGGATCCTGATCCGACCGTCTTGCGCGGTGCAGTGTCTCTTGGCAATCAGCTTCGATTCTGGAGTTACAGCTCTTCTGCAGCCGATCAGTATAGAAGCAGTAAACGCAGGTTGCGAAGAGCCGAGCGTGGAAGTAACAATACCACAGAGCGCTTCGCCGGTACAGGCAGAGTCAACCTGAAGAACTACATTGCCAACGAACAGTTCGAGTTGGAGCGTGATAGACAAGAGCGTCACAAGCAGGCCGAACGTTTGGCAGGCCGTTTTGGCACGGAGTTACTAAGTGAGGAGGAGGCTCTAGCATACGCTGCAATGCTTTCACAAGAGGCTGCTGAGGCAGACGAACTACGTCGCATCGAGCGCGAGAGCAGTGCCCTTAAGAGCGAGCCTGTAACGCCAGAGGCGAGCATTCAAGGCCAACCTTCATCGCCCGATACCAAGGATGACGACGAACTGGATGCCGACATCGCCGAAGCCATCCGTCTTTCTCTCAACGATAGCTCCGGAGCTGGCAGCTATGAACCCGCCTCCACGCCTCCTTCTGCGTTTGAGATTCCGATCAAGTATGCCAAGAGCAAGAAGTCTCCGCCATCCCGCTCCCAAAAGAGCACGCCCAGGAAGGGCAAGGCCGCTGCTGGATCAAGTAACGAGAGCGAGATGTCAGATTTGGAGTTTGCTATGCAACTGAGTCTTGCTGAAGAGCAGAGTCGGAAGGATGCTGAGGATGCGTTTCCACCACTCAGTCCAGCAGCTGGCAGTAAGGGTAAGGGCAGGATGTGGTAATTTGGTCGGCTGACTGTTCAGCTTGTTTTGGGCGTCTTTGTTATTCACCTTTCTCTTCAGCGGCCCCACGCTTAATACATTTGGACTCTCACGTTTGTTCGATTCTTCGTACGGTACACCGATAGTCAATATTGCCTCGGATGCACCGTTGCACCCTGATCTTTCCGGTCGGGTTTCTGTATTGGGAGGGCGGGAGCTTCTTGTACCTTGCGCAAGATGAGAGCTTAGTTATAGGCCACTTCTAATAGCTTGTTGCTTTCGCTGTCGAAATTCAAACCTAGGTCTATTTTGACATCCGCTCATGATCGGTACGACTGGACTTATTGGCACTTGACCGGTTCTTCATGGCTGGCACTTAATGCGGTTAGCTTGGAGGCCTTACCGCCCAGACCCCTGACACTTCCAGGCTCCAACCAGGTTGTGTTCCTGTCTCAGACAACAGCAAGTATAGAGTAGTGTCGGATAATTTTGTTCAAAAGAGTTGGGAACGCGCGATATAATCTCAAACTCGACGCCAACCTGCAGTAGAAAGAGCGCTTGGCGACCACGTCTCTTCGTAAAGTTTCATCAGCAACCTTCATCGGCATTCGAAAGGCTACGAGGGCAGCTTGTGAGACGTTGCGGTCCAGAATTCGATACCCACAGCAACTAGAGAAGAAAGTCGCAAAGGCGTGAAGGCTTACTCCCCGTCAACAGCAGCATGGCGGGTCTCTCCATTACATCAGCCCTACTTTCCCCTATCAACAAGCTCCGCGGGAAATCGAATCCATACCAGAAAAAATACACTACCCCTAAAACCCCGGCCCCAAACAGTGAATTCCTAGCCGAAGCACGTCAAGCAGCTGGCCGTGACCCCGTGACCGGAACCCAACAGCACACACATCCAGAGCCCACGAGCACCGACCTCCTAGCCGAAGCGCGTGAGGCAGCTGGCCGCAACCCCGTAACCGGCCGCCCACAGCCCATTGTCACAGGCAAGAAAGCAAAGAA